CTAAAGTACATTCCTAAAAATCCCGTGAGCCGCAACCAAAGAAAGGGAATCCAAGAAAAGGGATCATGGGACTATAAAGTATATCAATCATACGCCAATTTCATGAATTCATAAACCATTCCATCACACATGAAGATGCAAATGCCCCCTCCTTCCTTTACAACCCAACCTCACTAAGATCTTCATAACCATCACCTTAACTTACAACACAAACCATCATCTTACTTCCTAGCCTTCTCTCCCACATCAACCTTCATCCTCTCAACTCAACCTTATGCCAAGAATATGCATGTCATACAACCATTCATCAATATACAAGTCATGGTTTACATCATAGTTACATTAAAACATTGAAACATAAAAATTGATCACACAATTCATACTTTCTCATTTTCTCATAAAAAATAACATGCTTAGCATAAATACAAGAAAACCATCATATTCTCAATTCAAATAATTAGATCAAAACTACTTCATGCTTAACATCACAACCAAGAAGCTACAAACTAAGCATGTTTCACAAGATCAAGATATTCATATAAGAAAATTCATAAAACTCACTAAAATCATAGGAATTTATGCTTTAAACTTCCCCTACCTCAAGATAACAAGCCAAATCTCCAAACTCCAAACTTAAATCCCACCAAAAGCTTATAATACCAGTACCAAAACGTATCCCTTGCAATGATCTACAATTTGCTAACTCTGGCTTAACCCAAATCTTCTTCTAGCATGAAGAAGATTTGGGTTAAGTATGAAGAAATTTTAGAGAGAAGGGAAAGAGTAATATAGATAAAGAAAGAGAATTGTGGAGTGAGAGGAAAAGGGTGGCCCGAAAATGAAGGGAAAAATGAAAGAAATAGCCTAAAATGAAGCCACCTCATTGTCTCTAGAATATTCTAAGTTGGTCCATGAGACCAAAATGACAAAAATGCCACTCATCTTTCAATGAAATACCATTCTTACCCCACAATTATCTATCTCTAATACATAGATATAGATGTATACATATATATGAGAAAAGTCCATTATGCCCTTTTCTTAAAATGACAAAACCGGGAGAAGTTCCTAAGTTCGGAAATCGTCTCGACCTCCAGAAATTCTAAAAATGAAACTGTCACTTCTAATTGACTTAAAATAATTAAAAATATACTTCTAAAACCCTCGGCTCGAAAAAATGACCAAAACACCCCTCGGGGCCCTCGTGGCACACAAAATAAGGTAAGAATTAAAATAATCCAGAAAAATCAAATAAATTCCCTAAAATAGAAAATAGGGAAAATCGGTAATATTACAGCATAGGAGTAGTAGAAGCAGATCGTGCAGACTGCTGCCCCTGAAACTAAGATGAACTACCCTATTCATTTTTCATGACTGCCTATCTGAAGATGGTCCTACATTCTTCTTTTACTTCCACTGTTCCCTTCCTACATTTCTATCTTTAGCTTCTGCCTCTAGTATTAATGCTCTTTCCACTGCCTCTGCATAAACTTTGAAGTATTGAGCCGTTATCAATGGCCTCATTCGGTAATGAAGACCGGAAACAAACTTCCAAGTCTTATCAGCCTCATTTCTCACTATCTCTGGAGCAAAGTGAGAAAAAGATGTGAACTTGTTCTCATACTTTGTCATTAACACATTGCCTTGTATAAGATCATCAAATTGCTTCCTTAGCTCCCACATCTTGGTAATTAGAAAATATTTCTCATAGAATAGCTTTTTTAAACATATCCCAACTTATGTCTTCAACCTTGTGCTAGTTAGTGGCTGACTTCCACCAAAGCTTAGCATCCTTAGAAAACTTGTAAGTAGCCAAGATGATTTTTAAATGATTATCCGTCACATCCATAGAAGTCAAGTGGTTTTCCATTTGGTCTATGTAGTCGTCCGCTACCATTAGGTCTACACCACCCTCAAACATCATTGGCATCTACTTTGAAAATCTAGTAATCAACTTGAGACGTTTCTGCGCTACCGTCTCCTCTACCTGTACTACCGGTTATGGTACCGGTTGCGGAAGAGAAGCAATTATAGCCCTTAAGGCTCTCTGTAACGAACGGTTCAGTGCCAGATCAGTTGAACCTTCACCCTTTTCGATGGGTGTCTCAACATTGTCCCTTCCAGTAGGAACACGTCTTTGGGGAATCAAGTCCCTAAGAAGTGTATCCTCATCAACTGGCTTCGCGGGATTGGAGCTAAAGTTTTCACCAACATCACCCCTTGTCAGCTTAGGCCAACACCCCTAGGTTCTTTTCGCAGTGGCATCGTGCAATAAAACAAGAAAACGGTTCAATAACGATAACACTAAGGTCTAACCGTAAACAACTCAACATGAAAGGATTCTATACTAACACTTAGCATGCAATGCTATGCATTAAGCACATTAGCATAAACATAAACACATAAGCACGTAAGCAAGTAAAAGTTAAGCATGTTTTTCAAATAACAAAACACTTTAGCAAATAGCCACATAGATATACAACTAACTTCCCACGTACACAACCCTACGTCCTAAGGGTTTTCGAACCATTGCTCTGATACCAAATTTGTAATGACCCTAAAATGATACCAATTATAAAAAAAAAAAAAAAAAAAAAAAAAAAAAAATCGGCATGACCTCTACTAAAAAAGGTCCTACAACAACCTACTTAAATGCATAAAAATGTAATGGCCTCTCTTAGACCTTAAAAATTTATCTAACCTATCCCAATACACAATGTAAATAATAGATTTGAACATTCATTTCATCCATTCATTATGCCTCAACATAGTTCATTTCATGGTGGAACAACTACATACCATTTAATCCAAATATCATAATTACAGTCCCAAAAATATGGTTTAGATCAAAAGTTCATGTCTTACAACGTTTAGACAACTTATATTAAAGTTACAACCCATGAATATAATTACAATAACAAGAGTCCATAAGTCTCAGTACAGAATACAATATGCTAAGTTTTACAAAAAATAGTGAGACTTAGATACAAAAACAACAAAATGATCTTCTAATCCATACTAGGCCTGTGGTGGAACGTCATCCGCCACTTCTTTTCTGTGACTTGAAAATGTTAAATATAAGGGGTGAGCAAATTGCTCAATAGGTAGTGCCTAAGACACACCTCTTGTGATCTCGTGAATCCAAATAATGAATAGAAATAGAAGGAACGAGATCATGCTATGCAGGGAGAAAATACAACAAATTACAAGACCAAAATGGACAATGTGATGCTATGGAATGCTATGTTGTGCTATGTCGCTCCCCGTTTTCAAAATCACTTCTATTCTCTACTTTTTAAACCGTTAACATAACCCGTCCCAAGGTAACTCCCTGGCGACACGAGAGAAGGATTAGCTACTGTCCCTGACTCTTGGTAACCTCGCGGTGTCAGTTAGGGCCAGATAGCTCAACCACGCTAGGATAATTTTTCTAGTTCCCTCTAAGTTATATTAACGCCATGGACCCTCGGTATCTCCTCGGCGTCCGAGTTTTCTCAAAACCCCTTATCAAAAATCTTTCCCAAAACCTTTTTTATTTTATTTATTTATTTATTTATTTATTTTTTCAAAACATCATTCCCATTTCTCCTCAATGAAGTGCATGGATGCTTCATGCCACAATTTAACATTTCACAACTAATTCAACTTAAACCACTAGCAAGCTTTACATGAATTTCCCACAAAAATACAACATGCTTTCATTTAGTAATAATTTAGCATGGCAAACATATAAAACATGAATTCTAGTCCATATAAGCATGCTTGAATCAGCACACATCCATTTACACATAATTAAACATTCCATATACAACATTTAAACAATTTTGCAAGAATTTATACAACATAGGCATGTTAGATAACAATTTATATAAGAATAATTTACTAAAATCTAAGAAATTATGAATTAAACACCCCTACCACACTTAGATGCAAAAACCTCTAACTGGGCCCAAAAATTCGAAATTTGTAGAATGCACCAAATAAGGAATTGCTTATATCAACGCGTAGATCTCGTCGGGCTATTCGATTTGCCGCAAATGGCATCCAAAAATTCTAAGTGGTTGGAAAGGAATCACAGCTTGAATTTTGATGTGAAAAGAAAAAGAAAAAAAATGAGAAAATTGAGGGGGAGAGAAATATTACGCGGAGAGAGAATTTGGAGGCCAAAGTGGCCTTTTGGCCAATTAAAATATATTAGTTAATCTAACTCATATTTTGGTTATACCATTAACTTCAAAATGGAAAATTTGAATTACCTAGATTAACGATAGTCGGCATATCAACCAACACCCAAATTGATCGAATCAAACTCCAGTTAGAGTTAAAATGAACAAAAAAGGATTACGAGTTATAATAACTAATTTATATGACACCTCCAAAATAGGATCACAAGATTAACGATAGTCAGCATATCCAGTCAATGCAAGATTGAACATTTAAATCAGGAGTATGGTTCGAAAGATGGACCTCAAGGATTTATCTCCCTGCCTATGCAACTATGACGTGGAGTCATTTGAAATATAATTAAGAAAAATTTATTGCACTTTACCCTTAAAACTTTAAAATTATGAGAAAAAACTAAAGAGTGGTGGTATGTCCTCTAAAAACTGAGGATGGAAATCACTCCGAAAGCTTCAAGCAAATCTTTCAAAAAATGATTCGATTACGGAGAAACAACTATTTTTCTAAATTTTTAACCAAAAAAAAACTATTTTTCTAAATTAAAATTATATGAAGAGTTGAGATCCGATCTTTGCTTCATTGTTTGTGAAAATTTTAAAATGCTAGTGGCACCACTTGTCAATGCATCCTACATTAATTTTTTAGCCTAAAAAGATACTGTAGTATTTACGATCACACGGCTTGCAACTTAGAGAGCAGTTATGATTCTATCTCAGATCTTGGCGTCCATCAGATTTTTCTGCTAGATCCATATCCGTTGCTTTTCCCGTCTTCCTTTTCGCCTTTGTCTTTACCGTTATAGCTAGCGTCAGTTAAAGATGGAGTTTCAGCATTTGGGTCATGAAATGTCCGAGATCGAACACCCACTTCACCCACGACACCGTCTCTCCCGCTGCCATGTGAACGACTACAGTTACGATCGTAGATGCGATGCCTGTGGCAGGTGGCCAGAAGGCTTCTGCTTTCGTTGTTCTAAATGTAAATTTACGCTCGATAACGAATGTTATCGACTCACTCCAACCAAAAGCCTTGATGGTGATGAGCACCGGATTCCACATCTACACTATAGTCATTCCATGATTCTCTGCGATGTAATTGACAACAATTTTAGTAGATCCTGCTATGCATGCGGGCTACCCATTGATGAGAATTCAGTCTATGTTTGCCTTGAATGCAAGTGCGTACTCCACAAATCATGTGGTGAATTGCAACCAGAGAACTCTCATCCCTTCCACCAACACCCTCTCCGACTCATAAAAGGAGAGGATGATTTTGGTAACAGTCAACAACGCAAGGGCTCCAGGCGACCCAAGGAATATTATTTCAAGTGCCATGCCTGTGGATACAAGGGGGGCTACTACTTCAGTTGTTCTGAGTGCAAGTTTGAACTCGATCTTGTTTGCACTTCTTCATTAACACCCACCACCAAAAACAACCATGAATTAGGTGGTCATGATCAAGATCTTGGCCACCCGCATCCCTTGATGCTGTGTGATTCAACCTTTGATAATTTTGTCCGTTCTTGCTCTGCTTGCACGTTGCCTTTTGATCAGGGTTCAGTGATCTATGTTTGCCTTGAATGCAAAATTTTACTGCACAAATTATGCATTGGCCGATTGAAACCAAAGATCAAACACCCCTTCCACCCGCAACACTCTCTCACCCTCGTCTCTCGACACCACCATCAGTCAACGGTCTGTAAGGCATGTGGAGGTACTTATTTTGGCTGCACCTACGACTGTTCAATTGATGGTTGCGACTTCACTATGCATGCTAAATGTGCTTCACTAGTCCCCACCATATGGTCTGAACTTCACGACCACCCTCTTGCTTTCTTCAACAAGAGCGAATCTCACTACTTGGACTGCAGGGCTTGTACCGAATATATCTATAAAGATGCTGCTTTCTTTTCTTGTGTGGATTGCAAGTTTTTTCTCCATGTCCATTGCAATCCAACACTACCCAAAACCATCAAACATGAATGTCACATACATCCTCTCACGTTAACCGATTCCCTGGTCAAATACCATCCTGATGATGGTGAGGATGCAGAGCTATACTGTGATATCTGCGAGGGAAGAAGATATCTACTTGACAGCACCTACTTTTGTGATGATTGCAAATTTGTTGCTCATTTCGACTGTGTACACCATGAGGTATGTCCAAAAATTAGGAATAAAAAACAAGAACATCTTTCACACAAATATATATATATAAATATATTCGGTCTGTGTTCAACCCAAATTTTCATATGTCTTACTCTTTAAAAAAAAAAAAAAAAATCTTTCTATCATTTTTTTGTCATTGCATATATGATACCATTTCAATGCATATTAGGTTGTACGTTTACAAGAGGAGGAGAGGACTTTGGCCTGCAAAAATCCTGTGGATGCAAAGATGTATACACCAATTGAAGTAATTGAAGAGAAGAGTACAGATGCTGTGGCTAGCAATGTTTCAGACATAAAGGGAACAGAGCAGGAGACCACCAGTTCATCTTCAAGTGAAAAAGGTGGGGTATACTCTGTCAGTCCTGAACTGGAAGAGGAGATCAAGATGCTTTGGGAAGAAGTAAATCCACGGTTGACAAAATTAGAGGCACTAAATACCAATTTAGAGGCACTTGAGTCAATGCGTGCTACACGTTATGCACTTCAAAACTCAGGTGACAAATTGGATCAATCTACTGAAGGTAAGGAGTAGAGCTGAGCTGAGCCAGTAGCTACAGATTGCAGTGGTTGTTAGGGTGTTGTTTATGTTTGACTTGAAGTCATATAATTGCATGAATGATCAAACTGGAGTTTATTACTACTGTTCATCTAATCATGGTTCATTCTATTTAAAAAAGAAAAGAAATTACTAATGATTTCATACATATCATTGCAAAATGGTCTCACAAGACTTTATTAATACATTACAAAGAAATCTCAATATTAATAGAACTCTTTTGAGTGTCAAATATTCCAACACCATTTAATAATTTTTCCTTAGTTTTAAGAGTGACATCCTTACTATTCCTTCTCGATCTACTCTAACATGACACTGACTTTTTAATATCTGCTATAGATATTGAGTGCATCTTCATTGCATCCCAGTTTAGATTCATAATTTCTTAATGTTTTGTTCCCTAAATTTACTTTTCTATATCCGTAGGTTTTCCATAAGACATACATTTGGCACACCTCACAAAACTAGACTTTCATGGACTTGCAAAAAGGATATGGCGCAAGCTAGCTAGCAGACAATTCCATTTCTTTTTATTTTTATTAAAATTTAAAAACGTCAAATTACTATAAATTTTAGCTTATTATTTTTATAAACCACTAAATGATGATAAAGAGAGAACCATCTTTTCCAATATATTCCAAATCTATTTGTTGGAAATTGTCTCAAATTGAATTTTTTTTAAAAAATTTCCTCTTCTTTACTTTCTGTTTTAGAGTAAATTTTAGGCAAAAGTATATTAAACACTCCTCAACTATCAAATGTCTCAATTAAGTCACCTTGACGCTGAACAAATAGAATAATGATTGTCTTTCTTGAGAGAATATGGGATGTGAAAAGAGAAAAAATAGAATAATTAATTATCATTATTTGAAACCAAATTTCTGTTAATTCTTTTTTTCCCCTAATTTTCTTTTAAATCTTCATCCTTATAGAATTCAAATCTATACATAATTTAATAACATGAATTCAATTTATGCTGGAATCTTCATTTTCTCTTAAATATTCACAAAGCTACAATATTTTTTCACGATTTCTTTGCCCTAAGCTTTCGAAGTGGGCTTTTTTTCGTGAATAAAAAACCTAATTTTCTAACTATCTACATGTGCATATATATATATATATACAAAACAATAAAAGTAGAGAGAAACCTAATTTGATTTGTCTTATTCATCTCTCTCTTCAATGAAAAATTTAGTTTAGTTAGTTAGTTTAATGAGAACCCAATAAAAGCAAAAAAAACATATATAATATAATTACACATATATAAATATGGAAGCACAATCTAATTATAAATCATATATTCATACGTTGTTTATACGGATGCCAAAATACTCCGTCGCCATTAAGAACAGTAATGAGGTGATTAAATGGTTTTGAAAGGGTTATGGTGGTTAGGTTTAAAAACCCACATGGTTATTGGTTATAGCGCGGGAATGTAAAAGGTCACCTTGCTCGTCTTGTTTATAGTAATAAATTACAATTTTATTTTTATACTTTATTTTATATTCAATAATAGTATATAGATTAGGCAAATCCTTATTTATTCTATTCTAATTACAAAATATTTTTTTTTGTGTTATTATTATTTGAAAACTTCTATATATATTATTTTGATTTTTCTATAATAATATTAAGTATCAAGTTTAAATTGAGAAGTTGAATCTTATTTTTATTTGTATAAAAGAAAAGAAATTATTAAAATTTGTTTTATTATTTACTTTTGTTAGATTCGTAATACAATTATGAATGTATTCTACAAAATTCTTCACCGCTCCACACTACCTCATTTAATAAACGATATTGTATGGGTGTAAGGATAGCTATGCTAAATGAGGATGGAAATGGAGTTCGTGTTCCCTGTTCCAAGTCGCCCCATTTTCATCCTTACGTAATACCTGTACTCTATTTTGGCATGAAAAGATGTAAGCAAGTGATAAAAGAGTTGTTTTGTATGATATTTAGGGCATGTTTAGTTTGTAATTATAGAAACAATTTTTTGCTCAAAATGTCTGTTTTAAAAAAATAAAGAGTTGTTTTGTATGATATTTAGGGCATGTTTAGTTTGTAACTATAGAAACAGTATTTTTGCTCAAAATGTATGTGTTAAAGAATTATAAAAGTATATTTTCTAACAATAATTTTCTGTTTTTTGAATTCTTAAAATCGTTTTCAAAATTATAAACCAAACAAGCCCTTGGTATTCTACTATCTACTGTTCTGTATCTTTTGAATGGAGACTTTTCTCTTCTCATCCATGGATAGAAATCGGGTTAGTTGTGCTGACTGCTAGGCGACTGATATGTTGTGCTTTTATGTGTTTGTGAGTTGTTTGAGATTAAAGCTTCAATTGGCATAATAACACTATTCAAGACCAATCCAAACAACACAAGTTTGAAAAAAAAAAAAAAAAAAAAAAAAAACTGAGCTCGATAACCACCACTGAAAAGTCCACCCACTATCAATCCGATTAGTTTCCTGAGTCTTCGTTGCCCATGTCTTCATTGCCTGAGTCCTCGTTACTTGAGTCCTTGCTGCCCGAATTCTTCTCCAAAAGCGCATTTAATTTTGACATCAATGGCTCTAGTTCTTTTGTTTCTGTTTCTATCTTTTTGTGAAGCTCTGCAATCTTGTTATCAATGTTTCCTAACCACTCTTCTTCTTGTACGCGTAGAACCTAGATAATAAAAATAGAAAATAAAACGTCAATTAGATATTAAAATAAAATTTTGATTTTGCAATAGATACAAAAGTATGACAAAAAAAATCAATATATTTTTATTCTTTGTTATCTCAAAATAAATGTCAAAGTATTTTTTTAATTATTTTTTATTTATCATACCAATTTAATTTCCTTACATTGAAAGTATAAAAAGTAAACTATCACATGTACCTATTATGGACATATTTGGTAATTCATTCACTTCCGATATAAAATATTAAGCTCAATTTACTTGGAGCATTTTTAACAGTTGTATATATATATATATATATATATATATATTAATGTAAATCTCATGTGTCATAATAGATTTATACAAAAAAATTAAATTATTTATTTTTAGTTCAAGCAATTGTTTTATACTTTTTGTATAAAAATATATCCCAATAACAATCAATCAGTGTCATCTTGGACCCCCACATAATTTTTACAAACTTAGGGTTGATTCGTTAATACAATGAGAAAGAGGGAGGAGAAATAAAATATATGCTGATGTGGTTTTAAAATAATTATAATAAAAAAATATCAAATCAAAATATAATTATAAATTTTTTAAAGAAAATTATGTAAATTATGATTTTTATTTACTAGAACTAGAATTTTTTTTATTTTTATTTTTTTTTATAGTGTCTAGTTTTTATTAAAGATTTAATAGAAATGATCTCTCAATCGAAGATATATAGGAATACTTGAATTCAAATTATTATGTTATATTAGGGTTAGATTCGATCTATTAAGATAAGTTTTTCTATATTTTCTCCCTTTATATATATATATATTAAGATATTTCTTATATTAAAAAATTGTTTTTAAAATACACTTAACAGGAAAATAAATTGACATATAAGCAGATCACAAAAATTATAGCATTTTCATTAATTGATTTGCAATATTATGTGTCAACAAAAGAACATTTACTTGTATTTTTTCAACTTTTACTAGTGAAATTAAATGTGGGTGTACCTCAGGGAGGACGGAATGACAATCAACATGGGCAACAAAGTGGCATTCTGCACAGTAATAAGTGGGGTGATGCAAGTCTCTTATTTCCTCGCAGGCATCACAGATTAACTCCACATCATCATCTTCATCTGGACGATCTTTGACTGGGAAATTGGTTAGAGCAAGGGTATGTAAATGATACTCAATTTTGATAGTCTTTGGTAAAGTTGGATTGCAACGGACGTGGAGATTGTAATTGCACTCCACACACCGTAAGAATTCGGTGGAGTTGTCGCCACAAACATTACACCGAAACTTATCGTGCCTGATGCTTTTGAAGGAAGCAAGAAAGTGCTTGTGAAGTTCAGACCATATAGTGGGCATGAACGAAGCACATTTCGCATGCATAGAGAAATCGCATTTACGCCGGTCTTCACATAAGCATCTGTAGGTGCAGCCATAAAGTGACCCGGAGCAAGCCCCACACCAGTATGTACCACCTGCAGGTCGAGGTAGAAGAGTGAGAGGGTGGTGTGGGTGGAAGGAGTGGTGTTTGATCTCTTCTGCCAATTCAAAGCATGATTTGTGCAGCAATGTTTTGCATTCAAGGCAAACATAGATTGAGTCGTCCTTAAAAGGTAGATTGCAAGCGGAACACGAACGGTAAAAGTTCTTGCCATCCCTATGACACAGAATCAAGGGATGGGTTTTGCCGAGGTGTTTAATAGTCTGCTGCTCAACACCTTCTTCATGGTCTTTGGTTGGTGTCAGCGGAATGCAATTAAAGTCCAGCTGAAAATCACAGACAGAACAACAGAAGAAGAAGCCTTTTTGATTGTACCCACAGGCGTGGCACACCTTAGGATCAAACATAGAGTTTAGAAATCTGAGGGTGAGAGGACCATGTAGGGGGTGAAGGGGGTGTTTGATCTCTCGCGGCAATTCAGCACCCAATCGGTCTATGTTAAGCACGCAGTTCTCTGGAGTTGGGATCTGTATCCGGCACTCGAAACAGTAAGCTTCTAATTCATTATCAATATTCTCAAGAAACATCAAAGGGTGCCCGTGTATGAAATCTTGAATCTGTTTCTCTGACATTATTTAGTATTGGTGAGGAAGGAAGGGGAGAGGGAAAGGATGAAGAGGGATGGCTTGTACCTTGTGGGAATAAAAGTTATAATTTAAAGCACCAAGTCAGTTAAAGAGGGAGGGAGAGGGAAGGGGGAAAGGAACTTATGAGTGAAGGACTGATAAGGGTTATTAATTTAATTAATAGTATTTCGTTTACATTTCAAATCCAAAACTGATGACATGCATGCACTTATTGATTGAGGTCTTCTTTAACACTCATTAGTAACTACGTATTCAACTGACAACATTATGTCTACTGTTGGTGGAGTCCCAAAGTCATAGAATGCTTAAAAAAAAAAAAAAAAAAATGAGTTTAGTTTCATCTCTAGTGGGCTACAGATCTAATCTACAACATTAATACATGGCAAAATCGGAGTATTTAATTTAATGCAACTTTTTCTTATTTTTTTAGGACATATTTAAGATCAGCACATTGGTTGGTGTATTTTGACTTGTGACTAATTATTTTACATCTTTAAGATCTAGTACATATATAAATATGGCAGATCCAGATCTGATGCACGGAGGTTTTTCTTTTTTCTTTCTAATTCATTGACGTATAACTTAAATTAAATACCAATGGGTCATTGTTTAAGGAGGAGGTATGGACAGATAAAGCGGAAATGTAATATATTACAAGTTGTTGAAATAAAAATATTTTTGCGGGTTGTCTTTTTCTTTTTCTTTTTTTTTTTTTTTTTCTTTTTTTTTTTTTTTTGTGTGGTAAATTTGCAACTTTTGTAACAATTAAGCTAGTTAGAGGACCAAGATCACCTCTAGTCCCACAGTGCCCCATTTCCTCTATTTTGGGTCAATGAACAGTGTTAACTATGCTTGGGTAAAAAATGTATTTTTGGAATAAATTTTGGTATATATATATATATATATATATGTATGTATATACTATTGAAGAATATCCTTTTTGTTCCTTCCCTTATTTCTGCTTCCTCTTCCCTCCCTCATTTTAGGCGACATTTGAAATAGAAATAAAATCCCGCCCTAACCTTCGTCTCTCCCAAAATATGAATGAAGCCATTTTAGAAATTTATTTCTTTCCAAATAGAATTCAGCAGTAGCGATTGTTCTGTGAATCAATCCAAAACTTGGATACTACAAATTGCTTCCAAATTGGAGCAGTGATTCTGTTAGCCGCAATGAAATTGCAGATTCTGATTTCTTCTAAAAAGAAGCAGCAGTGGATCTTCAAAGCTAAGCGGGTGTGTATTTCCAAATCGAAGTACGAAATCGCCTTATTTCCAACCCTAATCAGGTACAATTCATAATTTTGAGATTTAATTTTGAAGGAAATCATCTTATTACCTTAAGAACTGAATGGCAGAAACAAATATATATAGACACAATTTTGGTAAGAAACCCATAAATAGAAAATTATTGGTGAATTTGAATTGATCGCTATTTTATTATGCAGTTATTAGAAGTTTTAATGTTTGTTTGCGAGGATAAAAAATGAAAGGATTTGTAGGGTACATGACTGGCTAGAAAATAGTGTTTCAGAATATTGCAATGTTAAGAAAATGTTTGGTCGTTGGACTTGCATCGCAACATTTTCTTAAGTTATATCCCAACTTTCTCCTAATAAGCATCCCAAATTCTTCCTTATTTACATTCCAATATTTTTGTAAAGTGAGTCACAACATTTTCCTAACGTACATCCCAAAACCCAGAAATAGAAAATTATTGGTGAATTTGAATTGATTGGTATTTTATTATGCAATTATTAGAGATTTTAATGTTTGTTTGTGAGGATAAAAAATAAGAGGAGTTGTAGGGTACATGACTGGCCGGAAAAGAGTGTTACAATGTTAAGAAAATGTTTGGTCGTTGGGCTTGCATCGCAACATTTTCCTAAGTTGCTTCCCAACTTTCTCCTAATAAGCATCCCAAATTCTTCCTTATCTACATTCCAATTTTTTTATAAAGTGAGTCACAACATTTTCCTAACGTACATCCCAAAATTTTCGTAATATAAATCCCAAAGTATTTGTTAAGTATATCTCAAAATTTTCCTAATGTGAATCCCAAAGGTTTCGTAAATCACATCCCAACTTCTTGGAAAGGTACATCCCAATTTTTTTCTAAGGTGAGTCGCAACTATTTCGTAAGGTGAATCCCAATTGTTTGGTAACGTAAATCCCAAGTTTTGTGTAATATTAATCCCAACATTTTCAGAAAGTGTATATGAAATTAGCATCAGTTGGTTGAACATATATGTTCTGTTGTAGCAACAAGGATTTTTATCGTCGTTTGTCTGGGATATACTTGATTGATACATGCAAAGAAATGAAATGAATGAGATATATGTCAAATTTAATTTCTCATACATGTGAAAATGTTTTTTATTTGATTGGTCATACTTGTGAAAAGATTTTGTATTTAAGTCATTGAGATGGAACATACTTGGGATGTAGAAGTAAAATTATTTTTTGTTAATTTAATATTTTGTGCATATGTGAGAAAAGGTTTTGTATTTGAGGCGTTCAAATGGAAGGTGAAGTAAATAATAATATTCAGGACACAATAAACGGACGAAACGTTCCTGTTATATATCTAGAAGTGATTAAATGGAAACCAAGGTATAAAATGGAGTTTGATAGTGAGGAAGAGGCATATGATTTTTACAGTGCATATGGTGGTCGAATTGGTTTTAGCATCTGGAAGGAGTATGGTAATAAAGTTAATGGAAGAATTAAATCAAGGGCGTTAGTTTATAGCAAGGAAGGTGTGAAGGGGTCTGACAAACGGGATACATTTAGAAAGACTCCCCAGGCTGAAACATGAACCAATTGCGGTGCACGAATGGTTATTAGATAGGACAAGACAAAGGCAAAGTATATAGTTTCTAAATTTGTAGAAAGTCACAACCATCCATTCATAATTGCTGAATGCAACCACATGATACCGTCCCAGCGACGAATTTCCTTAGTCTAGGCCATCGATGTTGAGTTGGCTTCGAATTCAGGAGTTTCGGCTTGTAATGCATATGAGTTGATGGGAAGGCAGTCTAGTGGCAAAGAATCTGTTGGGTACTTGAAAGTGGATCTTAAAAATTATCTAAGGACGCGAAGACAAAAAGAGCTTCTTTATAGAGAGGCGGCATGGCTTGTGAATTATTTTGAGACGGGTGGTTATGAAGATCTTTCATTCTTTTATTCCTTGCAGGTGGATACTGAGGAAATAATTACGAACATATTCTTGTAAAATGATCATTGATTATGGCCAGTTTGGAGATATTATCAGTTTCGACACAACGTACAAAGTAGTACACGGTAACAAACCATTTGCAATTTTCTTGGGTATGAATCATCATCGGGAGACCGCTATGTTTGGAGCAGCCTTAATGTATGATAAGGCAGCAGATTTGTTTGTCTGGTGATTTGAAACGTTCTTGAAAGTGATGGGTGGAAAAGCGCCAAAGAAGATTATAACGGATCAAGACGTTGCAATGGCGAAGGCATTAAAGTAGGTGAATAACTTTCATGCATCTCCATTCTTGTATTGTCTCATGCTGAAACAATTATATTATTTCAATCGTATTGTTTGGATTTGCATGTTTGCAATACAGGTATTAAGTTAATTAATCGTGCAGGTCATGCCGGTGACGAAGCATCATTTATGTGTTTGGCACGTAATGAATAACGCACAGAAGAACCTACTGTTTCTGTTTAAACACGTTGAAGGAATAAAGAAGGTCATCTCAAAATTCATGTTCCAAATTGAGGAGGAGGATGATTTTATTAGGGAATGTGATTTAATGATTGTAGAGTACGGTGTTGCTGGTAATAAGTGGCTTTCCACTTTGTTAGATTTGAGACATAAATGGACCCTAGCATTTATCAAACACGACTATTCTGCAGGAATGAGTAGCACGCAATTGAGTGAAAGCGTCAATGGTCAATTGAAGTATTACCTTTCCAGACAACTTATCTACCCGAATTCTTCACACCCTTTGACAGATTGTTGTCCGACAAGCGGTACAAGGAGTATGAAGCCAAGTATGGCTTGGTGGAGAGGCAACCTGAACTAAAAACAAAGTGCCACATATTACGTCAAGCGGAAAAGGTGTACACCAAGGCACTATTTCAGCTTTTCCAAGAGGAGTTTTTAGCTGCTCTTGCGAATCAGGCTGTTATTAGTTGCAGTGACTTTGATAACAATGGACACCGTATTTATAAAGTTGCTGGTGAGGACGGGGTGCAACATCGTGTGAGCAGGACATTTGAAGATGAATTATCATGCTCATGTTGTAAATTTCAAAGAGAGGGTTATTTATGCAAGCACAGTCTGAAAATCCTTAAAGACTGTATGTTTGTGAATGAGTTGCCTTCCCGATATATAATAAAAAGGTGGACTAGAAATGTTAGAGATGGCAGGTTGGAGGAAATTGTTTCTACCGACGTGAATCCGGATCCTCAACTTGAGATTAGGCGACGGCATAGGACGCTTTGCCGTATACTAACTGTAATATCTTCCATTGCATCGCACGACCCCGAAGGATATAATGATCTATTAGAAAAAGCACTGGACTAGAAAAGAACAGTACAAATAACTTGTGCTTATAGGTTTGCAGAGAAAATTGCAAGGGGTATAGGAAAAAAAAAAAAAAGGGTGAAAAGCAACAGTGAAACAATTCCCATGTCCCTGAAAGTTAAAGATACCTCTAAAGGACGATTTAAGAGGCAGAAACCAGCCATATAGTTAAATAGTGGGAAAAGGAGGAAGTCAACGAAAGTAACAGGCCAGGTATACGTTATTATCGCACGCACTGCTATTTCATTGTTTAACTATTTGAACATGCGAACAAAATAAATTAGATTTCATAACATTATATCCTTCGTCATAAAACACTCGTGAGTGGAAGAAACTAACATTTTTTATGTTTTAGATATAAAATGAAACCGTTGTTTTAGGAGACGCCGGTGGTAGCGATAGTCCATCAATCCCATCCT